TACGATAATTGCTTATCTCTCTTCCATTGGCAGTCATGAAGAAATGAATCGCGGTGGTTGAGCAATGATTCGGCTTGTTAATAATTTCCGTCATGCAAATGACTCATCGTAACAAGAATGTAAGCGCACAACACATCGCTTTTGAAAAAAAAAACAAAACATTTTTTCAACAACCAATTAGGCATTTATTTCATGGTTTTCGTTGTCATCGTGCCTAAGTGGATTGGAAGCATATTTCAAATGGGTGAACGATTGTGATCGCTGCTGATTCGTAACCGATCATTATATTGGAATGTTAATTTGATTTTTTTTCTTCAAATTTGTGTACGCAATCGAAAACGTATGTAAAATAAAAACGAAACGAAAAATTGTGTTGGAATGTGATTCACTGCAATCGTCGACTTATCATCATATCGTAGCGTGTTTACGAGCAATGGGTCGAGGTGAAAATTGAGTGTATCGTAATAATATCCAAGACACCAATTTAACGACACATATACATATATCCAATTTGCTTACAGCAAATAAATGCCGGAAATAGCTGTATATTGATTCATTCGTTCCATGAAATCAGATTCGCATCATTTATCCCGGTATAGTTTGTTTCTTCTGGGCTGATCGATTCGGTGAATTCAACGGGTTTTTTTCGGGCGCAGGAAGTCGTTTTTTTTTTGGTGTTTTGGTTGAAATTAATATGTTTTTCTTTACATTGACCGTCTTCCACAGGCTGAAGGAGAAATAACTCTGCCAAAGACAAGCAAAAAATCGTCTCAATTTGGGAATAAGGTGAATGAAGCGTCAATTTGGTCGATATCCATGTGACAAATGTACTGTGGCAACGGCATAATTATCGACACATTACCAAATCTAAGTGGACATATGTTCACATGTCTTGCGTTTAATTCATTTTTTTTCGTCGCCATTGTCGGTCGGTTTCAAAAGTCGGCCCATTAAAATTGTAAATAAATCACCGCGATAAGATACAGTATGACAATTTATATTTATATGCGCGACAATTCCCAATGTATTACCGTTTTCTTTTTCGCACTCCCTCTCTCTGTCGGTCAAGCGTCAAGCCCGTTGAAATTCTTCTTATACAAATGAACGATCGTGCGCACATACACACACTCGCACCTTTGACTAAATACGGCTAATGAAGAATCGCTTTTTATGAAAAAGTTGAAAAGTTCTCTCTCCGTTTAAGAAATGGCTACAAGGTTTTTAAGCGCCAATATTTTTAGCTCATTCATTAGTCATTCACGTAGTTTTTTTCTTGCTTCTCTTCTACTCTCAAACGGCTCTTTTTTTTGCTTCATCGTGCGTGCTACAAAGTAACGAGCTGTTAACTGGCTGTTCGCTTGGCCATAAAGACAAGAAAAAAAAACGATAATTGTTTTCAAAGCAACAAATTTCTATGAATATTATTCCCAAAAATATTTCGAGAGAAATATGTGCGAAAGTAAAGCGTAGCTTTACTCATTCGATCACGTCCAAAACAATGGCCACCTTCAAATGGCTCACCATAATTCGCCGTTGTTTTTTTTTCTCATTTCATGTGAATGTTTGTGTGCGTGCATTTGTGCACAGCGCTCAATGAAAGCATCATAGATTCATGTGAACACGTTTTATTTTTTTATGTTCTTTGTTTTCGTATTCATCATTTTTTTCACTCTTCAACGCGATGTAATGTGCGCTATTGCTATATATAGCCACGATTCGATGGAATTCGAACGTTTGTTGTCATTGTCGTATTGTGTTGTTGAGTAAATGACGCATTGATAAATAGTGCGTGCAAAATAATGTCAATTATCGTGACGAAAATACTGTTTTTATCAAAGTCACATTCCACATTCCGTCGTAATTAATGATACTAATCGTACAACCGCTCGGCGTGTGTCATACGCACACAGTTGCCCTTTTCAAAAATGTTATCGACGAAATTTTTATGAGCGAATGCAATCGGTTGTGGCGACGACCTGCTTTTCTTCTCGTCATTTTGTTGTGTTGATTTTTCGCTCGCTCTCTCTCTCTCTCTCTCTCTCTCTCTCGTCTTCCACACACAACTTCAATTGTCTTTAATGGTTTTTTTGTTTCTGTTGATTTACGTAAACTAATTAACGCACACCGTTAGCACAGATTTTACGAATGAATGCATAAATTAGCGTATAATGTCAGCTGCATTTAATTGTTTACGTTATTTTTGAAGCTTGTGTGTGTGTTTTTTTTCGCTTTTTCTCCTAAAGGATTTTACATGAAAATTAGCAAATAATTCTTGCGCTAAAAATCCAAGCTTGGCTTCAATCTCGATTTAAATGGTGACTATTTGTTGAACAAGAATTAATAAGACAAGCGAATAACCCTCTTAATTCGGACGAATGCAAAATACCAACAACAAAAATTACAATATTAATTACATGCGCACGATGAACACGCTACTTCACTAAATGCATCCCAATTAGTGGCTTTTCAATCGACACATTTAGAAATACCAAATGGGCCACTTGTTAGAAAGGATTGAGGGGATTAATTATTGTTTTTTTTGCGGTGATTTTGCAGACGTAAATCGACCATATCGATTTATTTGCTCAACAAAAAAAAACAGATAAGGTTTGTCGCTGTGTTTGCCTTCAGGCTTATACGATATATATTGATTAAACATTGTACTAAAATTCTGTCGCTTGAATTCCAAATAGCGGGTGTGTTGACCGAATTCCTAGCATATTTCTCACACTCGCAAAAACTCTATTCGAAGGGACCCAACTTGCCATTCGAATCGATCGGTAAGCTATGAAAAAAAAACGTTATCAACAAACTGTTTTGTATTTGTTAATTGTGAATGGAATTATGCTAAATATGTTGGAAATACGTTGACCTAAACCGTAAATAGAGTCTCACACTCTCGATGAATATTTCTCTCACTCACTCACTCCATCGCTCGCTGTCTAAGCGCAGTGGAACAGTGCGACGAATACATTGCACATATATATATGAAGAGGCATTATATTAGGCCGTACGTATTTATATAAGCACTTATATTTTGTAGGCATATGACACGCACCTGAGTAAATATTCGCATTGGTATGCACAAAAATATTTCGAAAGAATTACGGTTTTTGGTTGGCGCGCGCGAAAGAAACAGAGAGAGAGAGAGAGAGAGAGAGAGAGAGAGAGAGAGAGAGAGAGAGGAGAGAAAACCAAAACTGCATAATTATTGTGAAATAGCAATCAAATTACGCGTATATGCAAATGAATAATCAAAGCGGCGTGCGTAGAACGAAAATGTGTGCATTTATCTAATTGTGTGCAATTCGCAATTGAATTGTGTGGAACACATCGGTTGGTATTGGCGAGGGGAGAAAGAAGCGAGAATACACTTTGTTGTTGATTATATGAATTTAATGAAATGGTATCCAGATGGTGGATTCAATTCATTTTGTTTTGTTCACATTGATACGGGGTCAATTGAATTTCTCAAATTGTTTCTCTCTCTCTCTCTCTCTCTCCCTCCACTGATGACTAACTAAAAAGGTCAGATTTATATAGGCCCATTAGAGCGATTTCAAATGGCTAAATGAAAATTGCTCGTGTTTCTTCCATTGAACGAAATTCCACGTACATTTAGTGCAGAACGATCAAAACTATTAACAACAATCAATTGAACCAAATGCTTGATAATAATGAGCCAAACGAAAAAAAAAACAACAACAAGGTTTGATTCAACGCATATGAACAACAGCGATTGAGAGAAGAAAAAAAAAGAGTTTGGAAGAGCGTTCGTGTTCTTTTGGAACACCCATCAAAAGAATGTGAAACCACCACAATCACAACCAGCTATTATATTCATGGATACGTCTCGTGTTCACTTTGGCCATGCACTGGTATGGGTGAAGTATTTAAAACAACAAGCTATTCGATCGAATTTTTACATTGTTGTTGTTGCTGTTGCTGGTGTTATTCGAAGCACTGTGTTGCACGTTCACATATATATCCATTCGATTCGTGGCTCTCTATGTATATATGGATTCAAAGTGGAATGGAATGGATGAACGTTTATGTTGCTTGTGGTTCACATATATCGCCAAGTGAGCGAACAGAGAGACACGAAATTCCACTGCCATAAGCGAACATAGTAATAACATACGAGAGAAGTGGCAGAGGAGAGCGACAACCGAAGAGAAGCGAAGAGAAGCGAAGAGAAGAAGAAGAGGAAGAGAAGAAAAAAAACAACATAACCAACATACACACACTGGTCGCGCGCGTACAGAGAGAAAGAAATGAATCAAGAAAGGAAAAATAAAACGAAAGAAACAGATATTTATTTTAAACGCCAATAATTCGTTGGAATGTGACAGGGTGTACAATAAGTGCGTGAATCGTGTACGTCGATAAATGAGAAACGCGCTTTTTTTTAAATTCAACAGCGCGCAACAGATTCACAGATTCATTTTTTTCTTCTACTTCTTCTTCTTCCTTCTACTACATATAGAATGGTGCATTTTTTCGTTGTTGTTGCGCTTCATGTTGATTTCATCTTACTTTTTAAGCTACGGTTTATGTAAAGACACTCGTAATAGGATGAGATGATGTTGATGGCAGAGACGAGATTTGTGCGAATCACACACAAACGACGGCATAAATGAAACGACGAAAGGAAAGTATGTGAACGCGCCGACGACGACCGCGATTTTTACGCCAAATCCGCACACACGCACGCACATTTTGTCATGATGAAATGTTGCAGTTTTCGGTCATAGATTGAACGTTTGACCAAATTTGGTTGAATGGTTGTGTGAGAATTGGAGTCGCCTTTTTGAATATGTCTTCTTATTGGAAATGCCTATTTGGAGCTGTATCGACTAATGAATTGAAAGGCATTCCTTTCTCAATACAAAAAATAAATTAGAAGCCAATTGTTTTTCAACGAAAATTTATAAAAAAAAATATGTTGAAGCCGATTGTTTTTTTTTCATCTGTTTCAAATTTACATCGAAATTACTTACCATTTATGTGGTTTTTGTTTCAAACTCAAAAAAGTAAAATAATCCAATAATCCAGTGGTCGTTTTATATAATCGCTCGAAGAATAACCAATTAAAATGTTTCAATGGCTCGTTGTTTTTTTTTTCTTTTCGTTCCTCTTTAACTTTACACTCGTTTCATTTAAAACAACAAAACGCAATCTCAATCTCGATTAATGGGCCACATTGAATGAGCGCTCTAAATCAAAGGAGTCTGCGTTTCCTTGAATCGAATTCTTTTAGTTCACACGTTGTACGCTTAATTAAAACGATATTAGTTTTGTTGTTTTTTTTCGGTATTTCCTTTGCACTTTTTTATTCACGTGGTTTTTGTCGTCGTTGTTGTTGTTGTCGTAGTAGTAGGTTCATGTGTGTGTTTTTTCTACTTCACTTGATGCCGCTTCAGAAAAATGTGTTTCTGATGTTGAGTATCCCGCTTAAATTTTCTTCAACGTTTTCCTTCTCTCTCTCTCTCTCTCTCTCTCACTCTTGTTCTTCGCTCAATATACTCAAATTGTTTACTCTTGATGTGTGTCTCTTGAAGTGTGTATCAATGTGATATGAAAAATATGCATATAATCCAATGTAGTAAGTAAATGCGCGCGCGAACCGAATGAACAGCGTATAAACGTGTGTATGTGTGTGTAAATATCGAGAAAAATGGGAAAATAACCTGTTCTTCAAGTAGTTTCTTTAAATAGTGTTGTTGTTGTTATTTCTTTACACAAATCGAACGATCGGTGATTGCTGCTGCTGCTGCTGCCGTATGAGATGCGTGAGTGTCAGTGCAGCTTGCAACCCAGCCTATTTTGGATTGACTACAGGCTACAACGCAATGGTAGAAAGAGAGCGGAACACAATCGATCTCGACCAATTTTATCTCTCACAAAACAAAAACCGAACGAAGAAAAAACAAATCTAATCGTCACACACGGGTTCACAATTAATTCAATTCGAACGAAGGCGAACGAAAAAAAAACAAATACCGTACACAACAATTAAGTCACAGCAATTTGCGAAATTTTCCACCGAATGGATTTTGAACTAAATTTTTCGTGTTATTTGTTTATGCTGACATTCACAGAATACAAGTGCAATCCGCACATTCAATGTTGGATTATTGTCGCTGTTCGTTTATCGTTCAAAGTCAAAATACATTTTTATTAACCCGAAACAAAAATTCACTTGAAGGCAATTCACGGTGCTTTTGGTGATATAAGTGTGTGAGTGTCTCTTGGTTCGTTTCCCTCTTCGATTTCCAGTGGAACTGCTGAATTGATAAATTTTTCTTACACCAAGCAGCATAGATAACGAAAACAAATTTCTTGGTGAATGAAATTGAACACAATTTTTAAGATCGTGCCGAATGGAATTTGGGTCATCGATTTTTTTTTTCGGTTTCGTTCGTATTTGACAATTTTTGTTCGCAACTAAAATGACAGTCAGTTTTATTTTTGGGCAACACTTTACAGTTTCAATGTACTGACATGTGAATGATCACTTGTCGTTTCATCAACAAATATGATTACAGAAATGAAATTTCTAACTTTCGTAAAAATAGGCCTGAAAATTACTTAATTCCGAGTGGAAAAACACCGAAACCAAAATCGATGTCGTTTGTTTCTAGTTTTGTATGTGGAATCGAACAGGTTGTTATCTCGAAATCCCCCCGAACAAAACAAAAAATACACACATAAAAATGTAACACATTAATCCGAATGGCCGAAAAATGCAATGGGCTTCACCAATTTGCCGGCAGTCACGTTTCCCTCGTTGTTAACAAACACAAAACACTTTTCGAAATATTCGCAACTCGTATTTAATTTTTATTCTTGCTATTTCTTCTTTTCAATTCACATTTGCATAGAGTGAAATGCATCGATTTTTTTCGGACTATTTTCGTTTCGATTGAAATGCACTGCAACGATATACGGTCGATGTTGTTGTTGTTGTTCCCTTGGTGTTTCTATATATTTTTCTTTCGTCGTTGTTGTCGTCGTCGTCGTAGTACATCGATCGTAATCGCGTGTCTGCTTCATTCGACAAACTCACATCAACTATCCGTATGTAGCAACTATGCGACGCTTTGTTGTGGCTCTCTCTCGCCTTCAACACAACACGCACCATACATCGGTCCGTCTCGAAACTATGCATGCAATACTCTTGTCGCGTCGCGTCGGTGTATTGGTTTTGGTTCGGTGTGTGCGTGTTTATGTGCTTGGGTCGCTTGCCGTGTGTGTGCTGCTGCTGCTGCCGGTGCTATTGCCGCGTATTTCTTCGCGAGGTGGTGTATGTTGTCGTTCGCTTTGAATGGCTTTTTCTACTTCTTCGCTTTTAGCTTGGTATCATTTTATCTTCGGAATATTTCGTTGAGTTTTTCCAACATTTCTGTATGAATGTGTGATTGAATTCTTCTTATTTCTCTCTCTCTCTCTCTCTCTCTCTCTCTCTCTCTCTTCTTTTTCAATTCCTTTGGTTCGACTTAGAACACTAACTCCAATGAAGCAATGCGGAGGGAGAGCAAGAAGGAGCGAGAAAAAACCGAGTGAATGAGACAAAAATGCAATGCAGCACAACAAAACCTCAACGAGTCGACAAAATACTCGACGGTGTGCACTGCACATAGCTAAAGAAACGGGGCTACGGAGATCGCTCGTCGATCGGAATAAATGAAGCGCAAAGAAAAATGTAGAAAACAAAAGTACAAACAAGTCCCAAGATAGTTCGACTCTTTTTGTATATTATATATGGAACGCAACATCTCGTTCCCTCTCTCACACTCACTCACTCATTCACTCACTCACTCGCTCGTATGTATGTACTGTGTGTGTACATATATAAAGAAAGGCATTCCGTGATGCGCGCATTGTGCACGTTACTCATTATGTTGCACATAGGTAATAAAATTCCGTACGATATTCCTCAAGACATTGAATATGTAGACAGTGAGCTGCTCTCACATTGTTGACGGGCGCGCTCTCCATCGATCGTTCGCTGCTTGATCGCGAGCAAACGTGCGCTCGTTCATTCTCTCTCTCTCTCTGTCCCCATGCTCGTTTCAGTGCTTGTTAAGCTAAAAGCAAAATTCAAAATTAAATGCATTTACTATCGCGCCGTTCAAATTTCACAAATATCTATTGGAGAGCGCGCGCGCACCTTCGGCTGCCACATCGAAAATGTTGTCGCTTCGATCGAATCAAACGAGTTCTGACTTATCAAATCAATTGTACATTTCTCGTTCTCTCTCTCTCCATTACCTATTTCTGAAATACCACTAAAAACACCGAAACGAAAGAAAAAGAAAAAGAATTCTATGATAACTTCTACCGAAATTATTACGAACATGGTTGCCGCAGTGTATTTCGTGTGACCGTCATTAACTCCAACATACAACGAATTTTTTTTGTGGTCGAATTTTTTGTTTTACGAAAAATGGGAGAATGAAAGATGGAATTTAAAATTTGTGGCGGCCATGATTTGCTCTTCTCTCTCTGCTCAATTCTTCTTCTTACTTCTTTCCATCGTTTTCGTTCTTTCTCTCGATCGTTCGTTCTGTTCGGGCAGTGCGCGCATGTGAATAAGTATACTTTGCGTTGTTGTTTGGCCCGGCTTCCTTACCTTTTTACACATACTCAACGAGCTTCAATGTGGATCGGAATGCATTTTTTAGATGCACCACACTTGTATACGTTGTATACGTAGTATGTGTTTTTATTTCATCTCTTCTCTTCGCTTCATTCCATTCCTGCTGTTAACTTGTTTTTTTCTTCTCTTCTCTCTGGTTATCATGACGTGCATGTGTAAAGCAATCGAACGAACGAACGAAAGAAGTAACAACTCGTGGTCTTTGTTGTGTACAAAGGCAACGCAAATGGTGTACTTACGCATGCTTATATTCTCTTGTTGTACGCTCTCGGATAAGAAAACACCGATTGAGAAGAAGAAAGAAAAAAACAACAGAGAGAGAGAGAGAGAGAGAGAGAGAGAGAGATCCCAAAAGATGTGCTTCTGTTCGAAAATGATTTGTGAGTAATGGACAATGCCGCGGAAATGCGCAGCTTGCAGCACATTCATGTGTTTATTGTCAATGTTACGATCAAATTCACAGAGTATTTGCTCAATTGAATATTAATAGACACATTTATTTCTTTATTTACTTCCGACTCTTGTAACAACTGCAAATGCAGTCAACAACATGTCTTTTTCTTTCATTCGTCTCGGAATTTACACAGAATAAACATAAAAATCTATTTGAAAATTGGTAATAAATTTTGAATAAAATGAAAATTCATCCCACAAGTCCATTATGCATATTTTGAAATTAATTTGATATTTGCCTCCACCTCTTCGCTGTTTGATAGCACTGCTCGGGCGGCGGTTAGATAGGATTTTGCTTTACTGAATTGCCCCAATTGTGTGGATATCACTGCAAAAAGAGACAAAAACAAACAATTGGATTAGAAATGGAGTTTGAACAAATTCAATTTCATCCCAAAAGGTCCATTATGCATTCAATCAATCGAATTTGAAATTTGCAGCAAGATTTTTTTAAATTAACATTTGTCAACAAAACACAACAATCCATTCTCATTAAAATGCTCCAAATGGATTCAGTTCATGCGCCTTGTGAATGGCGTCAATCGATCCAATCACCATTATCAATCATGAATTTCGGAACATCTAATCATAAATACCTGCCAAATTGTTGAGCGCTGCTCCATGTGAACCATCCGAACTCAGACACAAACGTAAACATCGACGTGCCAAATTCAAATCGCCACTCGTCTGTAATTCAAAACACACCATTCAGTTCATTTTTTTCTCTCTCTTCAAATATGAATCATATATTTAGTTCCACGAACACAATTTATATGCAAACACGTTTTTTCCCTCTATATCTTCGTTAATGTGTTGAATATGACAAGTTTTATAAATATTGAGTATAAAAAAATGAATGATATCGATTAAATAAATCAATCCAATTCAAAGAAACTGAAAAATCGATGCCTTTTCGAATTAAGTCGAATTCAAAAGCAAATTTAGACAAACACAAACGATCAGGGCCAGAACCAATTTTTTTTTTGGAGTCATCACTCAGCAAGATTAATATGTTGAATGTATCGCGTATACCGTTACATTTTCCACTCTCTCGTTCAGCTCATCATCGAGCTAGAGAAAGAAAAACACGTAGATGATTGATCAAAACTCAAATCAATGAAATTTGGTCTACTTCAATTGTTCGGCTAATGCAAGTTGCATGTTGCGTTCGAGCCAATGCAGTCGCTCTCACAGAAGTAATGAATTTTTTTTTTAAGAAGATTTTTTTCCTCAATTTTTTACTCGCCGAGAAACGAATGGGAAAAAAAGAACAACCATTCGAATTCCATTCGATTATCGAAATCCAAGCGTTACAACGATAGATTCGAACGGTCGATAGTTTCGCTTCACTCTTATTTGTTCATTAATTATCCCGACTGAAAATGATTCGAAACATGCATGCAAGTTGTAAATAGACTGTTAATTAAACGGGAAAAAAATTCCGTGGCCTGTTCTTGATATGATGTGGTTTGGAATTTCCCCTAGAAAGTAGGCTCTCATCGATCGACCAAATCGACTGACACATTGACTTGCATTCGACACATGGCAGTAATAAAATCGACTGTTTTCTTGCTTTTGATCATCATTCGCCAATTTTTACAATTCAATCGATTGCCGGCCTTAGCAAAAAAGTGTTTCCTTTCAGCAGAAAAAAAATCATTTAAAAATAACCAAAATAACACATCAAAGAACGAGAACTGAGTTCAACGAAACCATCACTCCGTAACACGATCATATCTTATGGCGATATAATTTGTCGCCAGGGCATGACACTCCCGAAATAACAAAAATCCAACAACGAACAAACCAAAAAGCAGCAAAAAAAAGAGTTACATACCAAAGCGACGAAGCTCAAATTGTACCATACGTCAGCACGTTGTTCGGGCGTTGTGGCTAAGCGAATGGCACGTTGAAAGCACGGAAACACCAAATCTAATTGACCTCCATACAGACAGCACAGACCGAGATTACAAAATAATTCGCAGCTGTGCACTCCCATGCTTAAGACACGTCTGTACGGAGTTAATAATCATTTCAGTTAAAAATTCTTTTCACTCTATAATTATATTGTGCGTATGATAATGACGGAGAGAATGGAAAATGATACAGAGAGCAAGAGAAGAGAGAAAAGAAGAAACAATTATACCTATAGTAGAGAAGTGCCATTTCGGGCTGATTGCCATAGAAATGATGGACGGCAATGCAGGCGAGCACTTCACTGTTAATTGGCTCCAGTTGTGCAATGTGCCGATGCATACGCACCGATGTCTGCAGATTGCCCATCAGTTCGAGTATGCGCGCTTGATGTGTCATAAGCGAAATTTCATCCGGAAATTTTTTCAACGAATTCTCAAGGATGTCTATTGCCGCCAGCGGCTGATCAATTTTCACATAAACACGCGCCAACAATAAGGCCGTATCAATATGGGCGAATTTTTGCAGTGAGTCGCGTAAAAATCGTTCAGCACTGCGAGGATTACCGAGCGCAATATAGCAACGGCCGATTTGTGTATACCACCACCAAGATACATCACCTTGTCGTCGATCGACTATCGTTTTGCAGAGATCTAATGCTTTGCGAACATCACCGTCGTGGTAGTAGAGAAATTGAAAGAGAGGTTTGGCAAGAGGTTTATTGATGAAATTCGCCGGATTCAATCGAGACGCTTGAAATAGAGGTCCCGCTGGATCGCCCAAAGCAAACATTGTCGCTGAACCCAATCGAATATTTCGAGCCGAATCGATTCGTGATCCACCGGTTCGAAGAGCCGTTCGACTTTTCATCGAAGTGCCCGGTCGTTGTGTCATTGTTCCTGGTCGAGACTGAAAGGGGACATAAGTTGAAGGAAAAATACCGTTACCCTAATTGTTTTTCTCTATTTTAAAATATTTATTCCTGCGACTTTCTTACCATTCCCGTCAACGGCCGTCCACTTAATGTGTGAATAATGTGTAATGTGTAATTAAGAAAGAACTATTACAATGAAATTTCATGGGAAAATTCAGAATTTTCGAATGAATGCGATTTCTAACGACCATCGAATTCTATCACAAATTTCAAATCCGGGCTGGAATTCTAAGTCATTCCACCAAAATCGTTCGGAATTATTTTTTTCGTACATTGGACCATATTGGAGTGAAAGAGAGAGATTCCACTATTTTTCAGCGTGCTACCGGAATTATTTCTCACACAATCCACTCTTCCTTGAGTTATCGGAATAATTCCGGTGGAACGCTGAAAAATTGTGGAATCTCTCTCTTTCACTCCAATATGGTCTAATGTACGAAAAAAATAATTCCGAACGATTTTGGTGGAATGACTTAGAATTCCACCCCCGATCACCAAATTTCAAACGGCAACAGAGACAGAAATCATTGTCTAATGGAACACACCTTAATGTCCTTGGCCGGCTGTTCACTAACAATTGCTGTGGATTTTTCGCACCCGCTTCTGGCCGCAGTGTTGTGCCAGGTCGTGGTGCCGTTGCCAATCGATTCATATCCAAATCGTCACTTTCTTCAAAGAAAGACATTGAATCCCAATTATCAAGTATTGAAAACACAAAGAAAAACACTCGAACATTGAAAAATTAAAGAAAAATTGTTTTCACCTGGTACACCATCATCAGCTTCGATATCATCCACGTAAACTCGCTGAATCATTGCCCGCATCTTTAATTCCCATGGTCCGTTCTGCTGTGGATTCTTTTGCAACAATTCATTGCACACATTTATACACTCTTCGAACTTTTTGCGACGAAACAATGAAATTGCGAGATAGAATTGATCCATGTTTGTCTTGTAAACAACAAATCGGAAAAATAAATGCAAATGAATATTGTTTAGACAGAACACTTAAAGCATATTTCCATAGTAACCGATAGCGGCTGACGCCACCTGTGAATCAAGAGCGAACACTACACGAAGCTCAAGCGTTTGTGTACGCTTGGTGCATATGTACTTGAAACACAGTATGAAATACGTTAGAATAAATACGAATGAAGGTTCAACACAATACAACAAATTAAAGCTAAACAAAACAAATTTGAATCCGTTGCTGCTCTGTGAATCGTATTGATTGTCATTTTGCGATTGTTGTGCATTTCTCCAGAGTAAACCGCAAATCATACAAGTATTCCCAAATAAAAACACCTTGCAAACGCAAATATTTGTGGTTGAGGTCAAAAATCTTGCCAACTTTTTTTATTGATGAAAGTCTTCTTCACATTAAGAAAGAACTATTACAATGAAATTTCATGGGAAAATTCAGAATTTTCGAATGAATGCGATTTCTAACGACCATCGAATTCTATCACAAATTCCAAATCCGATCACCAAATTTCAAACGACAACAGAGACAGCAATCATTGTCTAATGGAACACACCTGAGTAGTTTTGAATTTTCCAAACTCAATTTCATAGAACGATAATGAAAAAAAGTTCAGAAATGGGATAAAAGCGGAATAAATGAAAAATTTAAACACGTTCCACAAATATAGAACATAAAGCCGGAGGTTTAGAGCTGATGTGAATTAATGTCACTGGAAAAGGTGTTTACGGCGAGAGCATCATATTGAATATGTTGTCGTGTATTCAAATAATTCATATTTGAAATGAAATGGGATGCACAAATGCATTTCTATGATACATTCAAGCTCGATGCATTTCAATCAGTGGTATGCAATTCAATTTTGAGTTCAATTTCAGTTGTCGTCAATGTGATGCATGAAAATGGGATAACCATAGATTTTTCCGATTTTCTTTTCAATAAATGATAACATAGGTTCTGACACCAAAAATTTCAGGGGGGGTCAAACCAATTCATGATGGGGTCAAAAAAATCAATTGTATCTAGTGTAAAATCGGTTTCGGAAAGAAGTGAAGACCTAAAAAAAGGTCCTCACTTTTGCAAAAATCGTTGGGGGTCAAATTTTGCCAGCAGAGGTCAGGATCAACGAGATCAGACTATGTCAGAACCTATGAATGATAATCTTCTTGGTGGAGAAAATTGGAAAATATTTTTGTCGAGGTGAACAAATGATGAAAAAATATTGAAATATGAATGGAAATTGGAGATTCCAAACGTAAACCGGTTGAATGCAGTAAAATTCCTATGGTGTAACACCTTAGCTCAACATACTTTGCCGTAGTGACACTGATTTTCCAGGAATGTGTTCAAGCAAACTTCAGTCTGTGGTAAATACTTTTCAAACTTCTTAAACACATTGTGTATTGAGCATCCAATATTTATGCACGGCATTTGATACTTTGCTAACTAATAATTTCCAAGCCAATATACCTGTAGCAACAACTACTTACATTGAATTCATCAATAGTGTTGATTCGACACTTGTCTGCACCCATTGTATCACTCTGTAAACTTTGTAAGCTTTTTGTGCAAAAAGACAAACAATCGCTCGATTCGATCTATTTGTTTGTTTATTAACTTCGTTTTTCAATTGCATTTATTTTATTATACCAATCCATCATAATTGAATCTAAAACTTTGATTTAAATCGTTATCCTCAAAATTAGAGTGATTTTTGTTTGAATTTGAAGAATTTAACAAAGGACATAACATTTTTTTTTTCTTAGTTTGGTTGTTATAATTTAGAGATTTCTTTGTACAATACCTAAATACGGATGAAAATTAAATTAGAAGTAGAGTTCATCTTTGCGGCAAAAGCAAATTTTCATATACAATAAATGAAATGGGAGGGAAAGAAATTGATAACTATCGTATTATAACATTTATTTATGGGAATCTTAATCTATCTTTTCTGTTTTTTGAGTATCGTTTAAATTCTCTCTTGGTTTGTGCCACATTTAATATTCAAAGGGATTTGACACCATCATTTTTCTGTTTATTTTTTTGGAAGGTTATCCGATTTTTTTCTCTCTAAATAGTTTACTTAATTTCAAATGGTTCAATTTATTTCATCAATTTAACTTATTTGAATAATTCAATTAAATGTAATTTTGCATTCGTTCGAGGCTTTAGCAATGCAATAAGTATTGCTGCTCTTACTATGTTTTCTTCTTCTAGTTCTGAATTAGAATATTGCAATCATAACTGATAACATTCAATTGATCTTCCTCTTCAAGTTCACTTAATACACGAAATCAAAGACAGAAGTGCTCGAAGTCAGTAGTATAACACGTCGAACGTTTCCAAACTGCTCAATTTTATAACGATTCAATTTCGTTTTTACCAATTAATTTTGCCAAATTCAAAGGATACAACTGAATAAATGTGTATATGTATATGGTGTCCAATCCCTAGCCTTGGATTCAATTTATTGCTATTTCTGATTCCAGAAAAGTATTTACTTTGTAAAATGTAAACACATAAATACGGGGAGTGAGCACTGAGCATTGTAATACCCCAAAATACATGAAATTCACAAGATATTTAGCACAATATTGATTTGAATCCCCGAAACCGATATTCAAATAACAATTTTTGGTCAAAGGATTCGATGGGTAAATATCTTTTCCATCTATTGGAAATCCGAAATGGGAACATGTCTAAAAGGCTTTGTTTCATCTGTCGGCCATTATCGTCGAGAAATGGTGTGGTAAAATTGATAAGCGGAAACTTCTTTAGTTTTCTCTTTATAAAATTTGCAAGTTTGAGTAGAAGGAAAGACTCTGCTGGAGCTTGAAAAAGGAAATGTTGACATTGATGGAATCGAAAATGTGCTTTGAAATTCGTAGAACCGTCAAATCATGTTACCCTTTGTTAAAATGTTTCCTATTTAAAATTCCGTAGAAATGCTATGTTGCGTGTGCACTATATTTGGAGCTGTGTTTTATTTTGTTATACGTAAATATGTGCTTATGATCTAAGAGTACATGGTTCGTTAAATATTAGTTGCTGTTTGTTTTAATATGTAGTTCAAACTCCGAAAATTCTCTATGAAAATTGATGTGTTCGACAAAGGGGTGCTCTTTTTTCGGCCTGAACAAAAATATTCAATAAGTGTTTGCGGAACGTTATTTTCTGGATAGAATAGACACCAATTTGGAAAACCACAAACTATTTGAAAATCTATTTGATAGAAATTACATTGAATTTACGATGATTTCATGTATGAAATGTATTGTTTACCATTTTCAATGATGCAAAAGCAACATAGCGTATTATTATTCGGTTCTGTGAAATCCGAATTAAAAATCAAATTTGCTTGCACATATTCAATACGAAAATTGCAGGAATGGAACTTGAAAAAAGCAACAAACATTGCATCGGTTTCTCCACATTTGATGTCTAACCCACCTCCCAACGAGAAGCAAAAATGTGTGTGTGTGTGTGTGTGTGTGATTGACACATACACAGAGGGAAATAAGGTTATCAGAATCACCAACATAAGGTCGTAAACGAGCGAATTCCAATCAGGATTGGACATTTCGCAAAATTTTCTGCACTCAGTTATAAGGAGATATGTGGAGAAAATTTTGCAAAATGCTCAACCCTGGTTGGAATTCGCTCGTTTACAACTTCATGTTGGTGATTCTGATAATCTCATTTCGCTCAGTGTAACTTTTCAAAACATCAATTTTCGGTCTAAATACATGGAGCTAGCTCAACATAGCTATGACTCCTTGCCACTGAAAACGAAATGCTTTTGAGCGCAGTCAATTTGCATGACATCGAACGTTTATGAATTAGGTAATAAAAGGTACATTCAATGAGTTTTAAATAGTATGAGTTCAATAAAATGTGCAATAAATTAATGTTTTTGTTGTTGTTGTTATTGACGTTGAAAATACAATTTAATTAAATTTACGGTATTCGGTTTTATCTTCATATACAGCCATTGAGAAGCTTTTTTTTACAATTCGTGACGAAAAATGGTACAAACGTCTGCTTGGACTGTACACAATCGCATCGAATATAATAAATTGAGAACAAATTTCCGCAATTGGAAATCTATAACAATAAAATACGTACATTTATGCAATAGAACATGAAATAAATTCTAAAAATGAAATTACAACAAAACTTGGCACATTTGCGATAAATTGTTCCATAACCTAAGCCTTGTGCCTTAACATTCATAACACGTTCGCAACTTATTAGAAAGTGTGTTTTATTTTGCTTTCTATTTAGTAAAATGGCAGTATTAGTTAATCGTCATATATCGTGTATCGAATTTCGGAGGAGAAGGTACTGTCGCTAACTGTGCTCTTCAACACGACTTTTTCAAGATGTAATGGCAACATTGCCATCTTGACAAGTGTTTATTTCGCAACATCATCGCCATCAATGGGTAGGAGAGACATTTAATGGCGAAAATGTCATGAACCCTTGAAAGTCGTTAGCTTAAAGACGATTTCGTCGATGGCCAACTGAATAGAAGACCTTATGCCATCCGCTTTTGCTAGCCATTCCACATTGACAAAAATGACACGATTCCAATCTATGTACAACAATTGCATCCAAAATGGTCGCCATTGAAATGGGAATTCGTCATGCATCAACCGTTTTGGTCATTCACTATACTTACTGAGTTGGCATTTTACACTGAAGTTGTGATTTGTTCGACAACTTGCACCGAACGATTTGGATGTCGAAAACTTTGCGATCTCCAGTGATTTCGGCTACAATGGCATTCAAAACCAGGTTGCGTTGATACATGTGCCAAGCCTTCTGGAACACTCCTACTGCGCGATGGATGATGTTGCAAACCGTTCGCAACCACTTGATTATTGTACTGACGATGCAAATCACACCTGAGAAATTCAAGAACGGGAACATTTTCGTAAATGTAAACACAAAACACCGTTTATCAATGAAATGAAATGAGAAAAAAAAGAGATGAACAAGTAAATTTACCTTGAATGCGAACGGCCGGTAGTTGCGTAACTCGGTGCACCGTGGTAAGTACGATAGCCATCGTTCCACATCATCGGCGTTTGAAAAGCGAACGAAAGGCTCTTGTGTAAGCGACCATTTCCATTTTCCACTGGCATGCGGTTGACACAGTGATTGGAATGACAGCATCGATTCGCACCGTATTGATGATGTGTTGGTGTGCTGAAATTCACACGATGCCGGAACGATGAGCAACCGTTCGATACACTGCCAATGGCAACGAAAACCGCATTAATTAAAATGATTACATTTCAAATTGTATACAAATTTGTGTATGTCTGCACTTGGTTAACTCGTTCGCTCTCTTGAGGCCGAGCCAACGAGTTACTTCAAGAATGACTTAATCAAAAGCAAACAAATGGTTCTTTTTTCTCAACTCTTTTTTTTTATATTCGATGTTAAACCGGAAATTAAAGTGAAAAACTTCGTAAATTAGCTTCTGGCCATTCATTGGTAAAACGGTTTCGCATGCCATTATCATTTTTATAAGCGGAAAACAACACATTTTTCGTCAAGAGGAAAGGAATATAAAAAAGTTTACGTCTAATTCGAAACCAAAACTGTTTTGGTAAAAACTTTATCATCCGCTTACCATGAGGTGCACTGTGTACCACTGCTGTACCAGTTGTTGTAGCGCGATGAGAAGCTGCGATTTAGCAAATCGGGGCAATCCGTCGTTGGTACAGTGAAATGCGAAGTAATCGAGCCGTTTGCCGAATATTTGGATAAATTCTGGCGGCCACCCATCGGATAGCCGATGAAGAACATTAGAACGGCTGAGATTGCCGTGGATGCTGAGCAAACAAAATAACCGGCTCGTCCATATCGAAGAGATTCTTTGTTGAGAAATGCCGTCAACGGGATACCAACCAGCACCGGGATCGATTCAGCACATCGAATAAAACCTACACCATGCAATATATAAATGACGTCAAATTCACCAGAAAACAGCAATATCTTCATCATTTAGTTATTTTTTTTTCTTTCTTCATGCCGCAATAGAATGGTTCGATTCGGCTCCCTTGTTGTTTGTATCTCCTTATGGATTCAATGTACACACACAAACAGTATGGCATGTTTACACTTACCCCATGCTTTTGTAAAATGTTTAGCTCGAACTCGTTCCAATGCCAGCATCTTTAATGTGTAACGATAACAACCCAACGCAACTCCATAGCCCCAGGCCGTTACGCACAGTGCAGTATAGCCAGCAATACCCGATATCACCAATGTGGAAATGGCAACCAATGCCAAACCAATCTGTTGTTTGTTTGTTCAGAGGTATTGGAGAGATGGGTAAGACGAGGACGAGAGAAAGAGAGAGAGAAAACATTGCAAAAATGCATATATAACAACTGAATCGAATGAGCATGTATCGTAATTTGTATTCCCTTTTCCTTTGAGCACTGCTTTATTTTCACATCCACGCATACACACACGGGAGCTCGCGCGCGCTCACGCGACAAATAACGTTTCGAAAATAGTTGTGTTTTTAAAGCGACCGATAGAAAATGTGCGGTATTTTGTACCGCCACACACATGAACAAATACCGATAACAATTCTACTAGATGGAAAGTTTAGCCGTGTGTGTGTGTGTGCTTTTCTCGCCGAGTAAAAAGGAAATGATTTATAATAGCTTGAAATTCAAGTGAGTAGAGCAACAAAACTGAAGAGTAAAATGAAATTGGAATTGTGAATGTAACTCACCTGACACACATACTGCCGTGATATATTAATTTTCCGGTAAGAAATCGTAAAATTTTTATTTATCGTTGAACCACTTGCCACAATGCCAAATGCAATCGAGAGACCGAGAAACGTTTGTAATAAAACTAAATCTTGAACATCGTAATGCTCGTCGGAACCATGCTGTGACATAAAAAACAAGGGTGCATATGAACCAAATGACGCGACCGATGAGCATATGATTAACATTCGCACGGTCGACGATTTAAACGGTGAAAAGTCCAAAAACGGTGGCTTTGGCGTACGTATATGCGTTTTCTTTTCTTTCACCTGCAAAGAAACGGAGCAAAATAGAAAGAAAGTAAGAAAGAGAAGCAATCAGCAAAATAAAATCAACGGAACAACAAACACATAAAGATGTAATCAATGAGAAAACAAATTGAATGTAATATTTTTTCCCATTGCAGTCGCCATACTCAAACGCTGAAGTGGAATTGAGTATTCCTAGCAATACAGTACCCAAATACCATTTAATCATTCAATGCTTGGTGATATAAAAACAAAAACCTTTTGTTTTTGCAACGAAAACCCCATTTATTTCGATAAACACATATACAATGTTTGCAAACTGGCACAGTTGAAACGCTGAAGGTCGTTTATTGCTGTGTTGCTATTGCTGTGTTGCTATTGCTGCTGTTGAAAACAAATAAAAATAAATTGCACCATCACCAAATAAAAACAGTCAACAAACGAATTAAAATCTTTGCCCAAATTCATCGCACCTCCAAAACTAGATAAACGGTAATAAAAATTTATTGTACAGCATCCTGATCCATATCTTAACACAAATTGAGGTCCATTTAATCGCATTCACTTCGTACTTTGAAACAGTTTTTTTGGAGAAAACGAAATGGAAATGGTAATTTTTCTTGTTGCAAAAAGTCGAATTTTCATTTCGTTTTGAGCTTTTATTATCTTTTTGGAGTATTTCGCTAACTATGGAAATTCGTCACAAAAAAAGAGAGAATAGCTGATGGAAATGATATTATGTTCATTTTATGCAATACATAAGCATTTTATGTCTCACAGTAGATGAAAATAACTATGTTTGGCTTTCGTACAGTGTAGAAAAACCACCCTATTTCTACACGCAAGTCACCAGACCTCATAAGCTCTTATAAAAACCGGATGTTCACAACTTTTCTTTACAAATCAGCCATTGCAATATTCAAAAGTCACCTAGAATTAATGAAAGTGTGGAAACTATTCAGCATGAATTGGTCAATTTAAAGGCTTTTATTCAATGGCCTAAGCCTTGCCGTCAGTATAAATACTTTGATAAAATTGTGATTTGTATGCTAATCGCTCAACACATTTATTATGTTTTCAAAAGTGTTTTCCATCATATCCACAAGTCAAATTGTATGCAATCATTTTCGATTCATCTCAAAACTTAAATCCATCACATGTTTATACAAATGGGCTTATTTGTATGAATCATTTGGAAAATGATATGAATGAAGTATTCCTTGAATGGCATCACGAAATGTTCATTTTCTATTTTCATTCCCATTAACATAATCATTTCTGTTCCACATTGAATTCAAAGCAACGACTTAGCGGTTGCCAACAGCAGGAAGTGAATAACGATTTGATCATTTCTATTCGAAACGATTGTCCTGTCTATGATGCTATTTCAATGGCATGCGAATGAGCCAGAATAATGAAAATGCGATTGAGCGTTAGTTGTATGCGACTGATGATTATTCCACTTAAGTGAACATGGTGTGGCTATTGTAAGCGCAAAACACTTGAAATCATTTCAATCAATCAATGTTCAAGCATCTTTTGTATTCGTTTCACTACAACCACTTCTTATTGCCTATTATTAAATGTAAACATGTATATACAGACAAACCCAATTCACAACCAAAACCGTGTGTTCTCCTGTCACTTTATGAAATTACATTTCTTCATACGATTGATAACGTCCACCTGCAAACGCATCATTGTTGATTGGTCTAGGTCAAGAATTAGAGCTTTTGGCTATTCGGGAATAAGCAAGACACCTCACTGTTGCTGGCATCAATTACAATGTGTAGGTCATATTTTTTTTGGGCCCACGGCACGAAATATGATGTTTTTGTCTGACCCATCACACGGTAACTTGTACATCCTTGGGCTATTTTTTCGGCTTGGGAACAATTCATCTTTTTTCGGGCTTGTGCCACGTGATGTTCTAAACACAATATTCATGTTGTGGAATTGAAATGCAATCTCTCGTTGGTGATTTGTAAATACACCGAAATTATTCTTTCATTTCGCGAATGTACATTGTAATTTAACTATGGTTCATTCCGGCCACATGAATCCCACTTGCTTTACTCAACTGAATACGTACGTAAATCTCATCTTTCCGAAATGAATTATTAATTTGTGAAGAAACTTGAATTTTGCTTTCATTATGGGTTTTTTTTTCAGCCGAAATTAAGTTTGCCAAAATGAATATTATTCAAACAGAAGAAATTAGTTTTACAGTTGGCCTCACAATGAAAGTTCGGCGCAACTAAAAAATAATTGCAGCAAAATGATTATATTTCAGAAAGAAAAACGGGTTGAAGTTTCAAACTTCATGGTGCTCTTCGATTGGATTACATGCCGAAGCCAGAGAAAGAAACGATGAAATGGAAGCGCGTACGGAATTTTCATGATAGTTTTACATTGACGTTTCGTGGCAAAAGTAATTTGAAGAAAATGCGCGACGCGATGTTCATAACTTAGAAATTGCGCTACATCCGAAATTTTCGGCCCATCCGCAAATGAGATATGTACATTACAGTGTTCGCAAAGTTGTGTTTTTCATCTACTGCTGCCGCTGGAAGGAAAATGAAAATCACGATCTGTAAACCGAAACCACTTTTAATGAATATCCTGTGTCTATACATCGGCCAGTTTTTTGAGCGGACACTCATTTATTCGTTGTTTTATTCATAGATTGCGTGACAAAGGAAGTAACAGTCAAACATTAAACCAAATTATTGTTGTCAATTGCTACGAAAGGCCAAATCTTCTTCTTTTTCTTCTCCGAATCTCTCCTTCTGCTGCAGCAGAAGATATACGCTTACGCATGCTTATACCTTATCATTATACGAATAAAGAGGGAAAAAAGTGATTCAATTTACTTATTATATTTACCTTTTTCCGTTGGTTTTTCATAAAGAGAATGGCTCTCCGCTGTGGATGATAAAGTGACGCAGGTCGATAAAGTAATCCCATGAAAAAGCATAACGACATTAAACCAGCAACGGCTATTAGTCCATGGCACCATTTCAGTTTTCTGGAATACAATAAAAAAAAGCAGCAGCAGAAAAGCAATGAGAAAAAAGAAAGAAATAAAAAACGAGGACGATGCGTGGACATTAACAGTAGTTAAAGAGTTTGATATTTAAGTGAAGCTTTTAAGTTGATGAAATGCATTAAACATTCATTGATGTAGATGGGGGATGAGAGAGAGAGAGAGAGAAAGAGGATGATCTGGTCAATTTTTATCGGAAAATTTTTGGATTCTCTCTGAGAAAAGCTCAATTACAATAAAACCCAGCAAATGCTCAAAGTTTACATCATTTTTCTTTTTCTCTGTCGCTCTTCCTTTTCAGCTCATCCAATTTTAATTTTATTACTGGACTTTCTTTTTATGAACTGACTTCTGGGAGTTCTACATTAAGACGGGATAAAAAAAATATGTGTGAGAGATACTTACTCGATACCCTCCTTTAAAATGACTGAAAATAATGCGATGCCAACACCTTCACCAGACATTGTGATCATCTCGACGAATTGTCTGCGTCGCTTGAAATAGTGACCCAACATGACTGCCGATGATTCACGCACCATTGTCGCTCCAACACCAACGATAATCCCTGTTCATTTTAACAACACCGACAACAACAACAAAAAATTCATTCATCAAATTTATCATCAGCCATTTATTAAAATCTACTAAATAAAATTTGTTTTGAGTGGCCATTTGTGAAAAAAAAGCCGAAAATATTATCTCGTTATTCCGAGCCATAAACATTACAATAGAGAATGAATGCACACAAAACAGAAATAATATGGAGTGAATTATATGAGTCTATATAAATATTTCAAGTTGCTTGATTTATTACGAATATCATGATAATGAATGGTTGGAGCGTGCGCGCTACGCGTACCATAAACCACTGACTTTTTTGCCACTGAGCTGAATATTTTTTGTTGTGTGTGCCGTTATCCGATATCACCCGGTGAAAGTCGGTCAATTCGTTGCGAAATATTATCAAAATGACTTCTGCTTTTCGTTAGAATTACTTTGGCTTTTTTTCTTGGAATTTTGTGTTGCTTTAGCTACTTTCTGCCACAGGGAATGTCTTCACGTGCGATGAATGATGACGTAATGGTAGCTTAAGTTCCAATTGGACTCCCAAGCACCAAAGAAAACTTTGCCTCGAGATGTGAAGCAGATGTCTAGCCGAAGTGTACAAACCAATTTTGGCATACATTCCCAATGTATTGTTTTGCTGACGCTTGAATTTATCCTGTGCACATGAAATTCGCACGTCAAAATTGGTTGTAATGTTGATGAGCACTGAGTTGCCATTTTTTCGCTCGACATTTTTTGCACAATCTTTTTTGTGTGCGAAACTGACAAGTGCTAGAATAACAATGGCTTTATTTTAATTGTTTTTTTTTTGGCTGTACAATGTGTACTGTACATGTTGTCTGTCAACGATTGTTTGTTGGCAGCTTTTCAAATGGCACAAACGAATGAAAAGAACAACGATATTTTCTTTGTTCAGAATTTTTTCTGAAAAATTGGCCATGTCTTTATTTTCCCACGGAGAAAAGTGGATGCTCAATGTCGAATACTCAAATTGCCAATAAAATAAATTCAACAAAAAAACAGACAGCTTTAGCTAAACACAACCTTTTGTTTTTCATTTGCCAGGAAAAATAGTCGACTCTCCTTCGTATTGAGATTAAAAACATGCAAACGGAAAATCGTTTTCGTTCATTTCAAGGCATCGAGTGTGCCGGTATGTTGTTTAAACATCAATGCGGAATATGAATCCAATTCCACTGAAAATTATGTAATTTTAATAGGCAATAAAATGTTTATTATATTCCATTCATAGCTAATGTTTTGGAAACGTGTGTGCGTGTGGGGTTTTTGTGTGCGATGCTTCACTCCCCCTGCAAAATGTGCCAGCCTCTGTTGAAGTGAGTGTTTACGGTGGATTTATTCGAATTGTTATTTTATCGGTACTGTTACGAGACGATACAAAGAAGAGAAGATAATTTCCTCGTTTTTCAACCGAAATACGGAGAAAATCGATAAAACATGGCAAAACGCTCGTTTTGGATTACGTTTCAGATAATTCACTATCTAATACAAAACGATTTTGGTAAATGTTTTGTGTTTTTTTTTATTACCAAAACCTGGAAGATGCCTGACACGGCAGGTGGGCATTTGGTTTTGAATGAAATGTGGGCATGAAATATGCTGTTTCCAATAAATGGTCAGCCTATCGTAAAAACGGCAAATCGAATGCAAATTGCTTAAAATTGACCCATTTACGATTTATTGCCATAAATTTTCAATTTTTTTTTCCAATGTCTTTTCACATGGAACATTTCTATCCACTTAATTTGGAAATGATTACATAAAAACAAACGAACACAGCAAAACCAAAAGAAAATGGTCACATTTTGATGACTCTAAACTTACCGTAACTTAAGGCCACTTGATGCAATTCTTTTGCAAACGACGTAAACAATATACCGAGTGCCAGTACTAATCCGCCAATGACAGCTGTTAAACGCGTTGATTTACGACGACAAAATGCGATTATAAGCGGTGCACTAAACATCGAAACGGCCCAACTAGTCGAACCCAGCCAATCTAAAAGTGAGATGGAAATGGAGAAAATGAAACAGTCAAAAATGGAAAATTATACGCAAAATGCTGTGGGCGTTGTGTGTTTGGATATTGAATCTTTTGGGTGGCGGATCTGTGTGGATTTATGGAGGTTTCATTCGAGTTTTAATCACATGGCAACGTGTTTCTATTTATAGCTAAGTCGAAAGGGATCGGATCAAAGTTACAAAGGAAAGAAAACCATTTTTCATGACTAATGAGCCCTGTGTTGAAGTCATAAAATTGATGATGAGCCAGAAGTCTGGACTCGATTACCAAAAGCATCTCTCCGTAATAAGATTAGCTAAATTCTCCTATACCTTCGGACTGCCGCCGCTGCATGTTGTCGCAAGCTCTGAATATTTCGGATCGACTCCATTGTAATTAGCTCGAAATATTGTATACGCAGGTGCTTTGTCATTAAAATCTATGCCAAACACAAGAGCAAAAGCAATTTTCAAACATAAATTACACAAAAATAAAGGTGATTTGGCAAACAAATTAACGAAAATGCCCCCATTTTTCAACGTCCACTCTTATTGAAAACGAACAAACATCGCTGAAGATTGTTTACAAAAAAATCAGTTTTATATATAGATAAAAAGAATTACATTCGTAATCCCAAACTTTTCCGTACCGTTGTCCGTATATTTGGTGTTTTTTTTAATATTCTTGAAAAATCGGTCAATTTAGTCAAAACTTCGACAATTTTGTATGGGAATTTTGTATGTTGCATATTTTTTTCACAAAATAAGAAATTGGTTTGATCTTTTTGATCGATGTGTATTTTTCAGGTGACGAATAGCTGAACCAATTTAGCTGAATAAAAAGATGATTTTCTTCGATTCCTCTTTTCGATTGTAGTGTAGAATTCATTTCAAACATGTTTTTGTCAATCTATAACCATACCAACCAATAGCTCAAGTAATTAGTCTTTTTAATTGCTTACGATATTGGTATGGAGTAGAATTTTTTAAACTTTTTGTGACCTTAACGTACATCCGTGCTAAATTTGAACGCAATTTTTATGAGTCATATGCCGTCATAGGTTCTGACATAGTCTGATCTCGTTGATCCTGACCCCCCCTGGCAAAATTTGACCCCCCAACGATTTTTTCGGAGCCATTGCCATTTTCGGACCTTTTTTTTTTTTGCTCCTCAATTTTGCTGCGAAGGGAACATTAACACTAGATAGAATGGATTGATTATGAAAATGATTTTACACTAGATTTTTTTGACGCCCCCTTGAATTTTTGGTTTGACCCCCCCTGAAATTTTTGGTGTCAGAACCTATGTATGCCGTAGGCATGGGATATGTCGCAGGGATAGTAAATTCATATATTCCAAATTCCATTAAGATTTAAATTGAATTCACTACAGGCAGACTAACATTCAATTTCGAGGAGTCGCGAAGTGAACAGTGTTGGTCAATCATGTAAGATTCCCTTGTATAGCTAAAATGATGGCCGTTTTATGCGCCATCTCTCATTCCGTTCTACAATTACGGCTATTCGTATTACAAACAACATGTGGAGAGAATGAAATGAAGACGTGGAGAGAATGATTTGAGTGTTTCTCTTTATGAACAAATTTTTTTATATTTTTTTATGAGGATTATGTTTTTAAGGTACATATTCTCGAATCATTATTGGCCCTTCACATCATTTATTTATTTTTATCATTTTTATTATTAAATATAATAAAATGAATGCAAAAAATCTAAATTGACTTGGCCGACGAGATATGAGATGGCGCTGACTAACGGCATTCGCGCGATTATCTCTCCAATTCCATACAAATACGGGGTGATTGGTGTTGGTTGCTCTTGTTCACTTTCAAGTGAAAGAAGAATTTGGTTCACTCTAGAGTATAGAGTCAACGTGGATGGGTTGAATTTTTCTTGATACAGCGTCAGACGTCAATGCAGAAAGAAT